TGCTGTGTGTAAAGCTATGTGCGGTGTCAGCTCGTGCGCGTCTTGCGTGCATTGCAGCCTCGGGTTTTCAGTGGCAGGGGCTTGTCCATTGCAGGGAGGGGGCATCAACTCTAAAGCGCCGGCAGCGCGGGGGGCGGGGAGGGGTTCCGAATTGAAAGTGGCACGTAAGGCCGGGGCTTCAGGTTCTGGAAGGGTTGTCTCTGCACAGTTCTCGCCGGGCAGGCCAGGTGTTTGGCTGTCCCTTGTAACGGCTGGAGCTTGCTCGGAGCCCGAGCCTACGAGCCTAGTCGAAGCGGGGGTCAGCTGTTCACTATGACAAGCCCTAGAGGCAAAATGAGCTCACCATGACGACCCCATTGCTTGAGGATCCCTTCGTTCGAGTTTTGAAGTGAAAACAATTGCAGGTTCTTTGCCCGCTTTTTCAAGGATGACGCCTTGCAGAGAAACAAAGCATTGACCACCATGGCGCCCGCCGCCCGCGAGCTGCGGGTGGTACGGGTGTGCCGTTGAGCAACCTTTCCGGTACTTGATCCGGGCCATCCTTTGGAAGACTCCCAGTCAATGAGAATTGCGGCACTTTTGCCACATATTCCGAACCAAGAGGGAAAGCCAGCTCACCCTGGATGAAGGTCCCAAGCAATTGGGATTGGCCCCCCTTTTCAAACGTGGTTTACGAACTATACTACAAATTCATGCGATTCGTTTGCAGATGGTTTAATGCCAGCTATGACGCTGGAGTCAATTGGGCATGCATTTGGATTAGGGAGCCTTTGGTGGACATCATGTAGATGGGTTTCGTGTCCACCCACCAATTTTGAGGTGGCTCTGTATTGAAAATCATTGCCAACTTGTTTTTTGATTTATTTATTTATTTATTTATTTATTTATTTGTTTAATCTATTTCATGCGGGCTCAACTCAACAAAGGCGAAGTGCGTGTAGGAGCTCACAGGCTTTTCCGCGCGCGCGCGCGCATGCGCGGGTGCACGCCGAAGCGCCAAGTCCGTTCGCGGTGGGGTGAGACCGGAGCTACTGCGTTTTCACGGTATTGCTGAGGGGCCAGGTAGAAACCATGCTTTCTTTCCTGTCCAGTTCTTTTGTTTTGGCTCTGGAACAGATTCAACATATGCACCAAAGCCAGGGCAGTGGTGTAACCCTTGAGACCGACTCAGAAAGGGGGGGGGGGCTTCTTTCTCTCGGAGGACATCGGGGTGACCTGGGGTTCAGTCAATATGCGGCTACACAGACTTGTCCAAAGTTCTTAACAAGTTGGGGCTTCGATTGATGGTGGCCCGGTTGGTAGTTGGGCCCTAGTTGGACAATTCTGAGACCTGGAGTCCAAGACAAGGTCATGGTCTTTTCAAAAGACAAGGCCATGGTCCTTTTAAACCAATTTGTTTGAATCTCCCTTTGACAAAGCACCAGCATGGAATCTAGGGATATCTAGGGTACTTCAAGACTACACTCTGAGTCCAATTGCGACAGCCACAAATCGAATGGACAGCTCACGGAATTCAAAAGGCCAACATTCTTCAGGCCAAATAAAGCAATCCGGCGGTCCACTTGGGTTATTAATCCTGGGTTGGCATGATGCCAGTTTGAGACTGAGTGGATTCCAGTGGTTCAGTTTGGTTCTAAGGATTCACCTGGCTTCCCTTCACCCAAAGAGACGTCCCTTAGACGGGTTTCGCTCTGCAGGGCTCGCGGAACACTGAGGCGCCTCTTGGCGCTCGAGCCGCGTGCTGCGCAGGGCCAAGGCAGCACAGGGCTTCCGGGGGTTCGGTTTTGTTGAAGTTCAAAATGGATTTCGGAGCCCTTTTGGTGAAAGGGACACCAACCAAAACACCAATTTTGTCTGGTCCCGTAGTTGCAGCACAGGGCACAAGCCACCCTTTAAATTGGGGGTACGTGCTTTGGATACGGAATTCAGACGAGCATGATAAGGATTCCTACTGAGAGAACCATGGACGACAAGTAAAACCGTCCATCGGAGGTTCTTGATTTGCGGAAACACCGAAACACCCGGAGCCACCATGAAAAGTCAGGCAGAAGGTGGGTAAGGGACAGCTGGCCATACATAGGCGCGGCCTCTCTTTTGACAGTGGACATGAATTTGGGTAGTCCCCAACCAAAACTGGGGACGGCAGTTGGTTTCATCCACCAGCACGACACCAACCATCTGGATGACCCCGATTCTTGACACATTCCCATGTCTGTGCCTCAGAATGAAACGGGTGCTGTTAAGGGAAGCATGATCTCAACCGTCAAGGCTTTTCAATTTCATGTCACATGATCCTAGACATGTTTCGCTTGCCAGCCTCGATCGTTGGCTTCCCACCCATCCCCAACCCCGGTTTCCGACCCCGACACCCGCACCTTGTGTTTCCATCATGACAGGCTCAGCGGCAGTCTGTGGTTGTGGCAAAATAGGGGGACCCAAAGCTGCGGTTTTACTTTTGGTGGCTTCCCTTCAAACCAAGGTGCAAAGGGTAGTGTAGGCGGCGGATGAACTACGAAGGGCCTGCGACATATCTGCCTCGAGAATATGTCAAGCTGCGACCTCACGGCCTGTTTTGTGTGGGGCTGCCGCAAGCAGGAAAAAACGGTGGTAGAGGGACGGCGAGGGTAGTCGCCGCGGTCACCTGTGAAGCAGTTCAGAACTTGAAAAGGCAAAGCTGCCACAAACTTGTCGAACCTTGAATCGAGGCCGAAAACAAGAGCCATCTGCCTCGAAGCCCTAGGACTGCGAAGTCGGGCTTGTTTGTTCCTCCCCTTCGCTGGTCTTTGCCCTCCAAATTGCGCGAGTTGGCAACTCATCTCCAGGAAGCCAGCTGCAAGAGGCCCGCGATTTCCAGACCCATCTCTGTATCTAGAGGCACATGCCACGCGCTTTTGCGTCGAGTTTGTGGCTTTGTAGTATGACAAGACACGGGCCTCGCATGTGATAAAGCGCTTCTCATCGAATGGACTCGCGGCTCATGCGGAGAGTCGACAATTCGACTGAAACCATCGCGCCCCTACTGTATGTTCCTAAACCATCGGACTGCAGACTGATCTCGATATGGGTATGTGTCAAACTGGGGTGGGGTACTTTGGTTCAACTTATATAAGACCAACCTGCAAAGGATCACCTTCAAACAAACACCACACACACCCAGATAGTTTGGGCAACGGAGCCGTCCCAAAAACCGCACACCCCACGGCATGCGGGCGGATCGCTACCATGGGCTGGTCCCATCACCTCTACGACGTGGAGGTGCTGGAGGTGAATCGCAGCGCTCCTCGGCGGCTGGGCATGTCACACATCCGAATCCCAGGAGCATGAGGGAATTTGGTTTACTAGTACCCATCCCCATGTCCGAATTTTGTTTTCGGCCTCATAGAATGGCCACAGGGGGACATGTTCACTGCGAGCTGGTCCTAACGGAGGCTTTCTCCTCTTGGAAGCTCGGCGTTGGTGGCCTTTGACAGCCGTCAAAATTCGAGGCCTTGGGGAAGGGATCTCACCGTGTGGAGGGCGCTCGGCGCAGAAGCCGTCGAGATTTCTCGATTTCTCGTCTTCCCCGGGGCTGAACGGCTGAGGAAATTTTCGGGTGCGCTGGTTTTGGGGGGCACAGCTCCGAGCCGGTGTGCTTCTTTTTGTTTATTTTAGTTGTTTTTGGACTGTATGCTCATTGAAACTGCTGTCGGCTTCTTTTCTCTCAAGACGCCCAGATTCTCACGAAGGTAGGGGCAACCCCGGGCTGACATTTCGGCACCCCACATAGGTGACGCAACAATGAGGGGTTTTCCTTTCGGTTTCTATTCAAGCATCCAAAAGGGTTCTCCTTTCCCAGTTTTTTGCAAAGCCCCTGCAAATGGTCGATCCCCAAGTGGTTGGTTTTTCTTGAACCAGAAGCAAGCCAAGAAGCTCAAACGGAGGCGTCCGATGTTTGAGCGAGCTCCGTTTTTGGTTCGCGTAACTGCAAAGCATTGAATGGATCCCAGTGGGCTGGTCAAACTGCCGCCACCAGTGGCTTTGAACGAAGTTTTGCAGCCCCAGTCGGGGCAAATCCACATGCGGGCGTGTCTTTTGAGGGTACCTCTTTTTTGGGACCACACGGAAAGAGGCAAACTCATGTCAAGGAGATAGGAGAGCCAGGTCAGTACTTTTCCTTGCGAGGCGCTGAAATTTGGGACTCTGCGAGCCTCTCAAACGGCTCATGAGAAAGGTACCTCGGAAGCCTTAGTCTGAACCGGCAAAGGACGCGCTTCTTTCGCTCTATCAACTCATATCATGTCACAACCATCAGGCATTGTTGGGGCCGCCCTTCTTATCCGTGTTCCCTTTTCCAAACTCTGCTCTCTCGCTCTCTTGCTGGTTGAGGCTGATGATCCAGGCATTAGCCTCAGGCGCGGTGCACGAGGGGTGCCGGCTCCGTTTGTCACAATCTGCCTCACGTGGTGCAGGAATAATATCCCCACCCAAAACTTATGCAGGGTTCCCTTCACCATCCCTTGTATTTTGCGAGCATCTTCCATGGTGGGAGGTCTAATTCTGACCTCAGTGGGGGAGACCAATCTTCAAGAACAAGCGTCAGTCTTCTTTTCATTTGGTGATTCTTTATGTATTTCACTGGCTAATGTCTCTGTTTTCTTGAGATACTCTTTTCTGGCTGGCTTAAAGGGACGCTAAAAGATCAAGCACCGTTTTTAGGGGTCCAGTCTCTTCGCCGGGCTTCCTTCTTCCCGGCGGCCGGTCTTTTCCAACCCCCGGTGGCGGTGTTTCGGGATGGACCAAACAGATGTTTTGGGCAAGACATTTGCGTAGAAAAGTACCCTCCCGCCAACAAACATGGAAGTGGACAGAGGAGTTCCCCAAAAGGAAAGTAGTCTTCCAAGCTCCTCCTGTCAGCTTCCATGTTAGTCTGAGAGAGTGTACCTGGCCCCGACTTCAGCATCCTCCACGTGCCGGACACGCACTTCTCGCTGCGCTCGGACATGAGCCCCTGGTCGGACCGCATGCACAGGCTGGGCGAAGCAAAGCCGGCCGCTTTTAGTGGTCGTCCTGTTTTCTCCTGGGAATACTGTGGATGGACGAAATCCTGCACCACTTTGAAACCACGGGAAACCATTGTTTGTTGGTATTTACAGGGCAATCATTATCCCAGGGTTTCTGAGGTGGTGCAGGATTTCGTCCATCCACAGTACTGTTCCACATTTGCGTGCTTTCAGATCTTTTTATCCGAAGATGGATGATTTCCATTCTGTGGTGATAAATTCATCACCTTGCTTGGGGCCTTCCTTTGGGCGGAGTGAAGTTTGAAGGGGACATAAGCACCCCTGAAGTCGCTCGGCCGACCAGCACGCAACAAGCAGAGACCAGGAGTAGCAGGGTAAATTGAGTGAACCCCGTCTGGTGGGTAGTCCCGCTCATCCCAATGTCCCCCACATTTGGTGGTGGATTGAAATTCAATTAATTATCCAGATAGACAAGCCGTCGCGGGGTTGGTTAAAGGGAAATAGCAAGTTCACAACCCAAATCTGGGGTAATTATAGGAAACACCTACAGCTATGTATTTGCAGTTTTCGCAAAAAATACTAGTCAACTTGAGTACAGTCCTGCGCAGTGCCAGTTTTTTTCTTTCCGGCGGGTGCACCCAAGTGACAGGGACCATTCCCGCACGCTGGATGGGTGGATTGCCCCTACACCATGGCCATTAATGTACAGGGACATGACTCATTTTTGGGGTCCCCCTATTTTGACACATACCCAAATCACTCTCTTTGAGGAGTTTGATGTTTGTTTTTTTTTGATAGCCTCAAGCGTGCTGACTCGTACAGGAGAAAGCAAGGCACATGTGGCAAAGCACCACACCGGAACGGATTTTCCTGTGTTGTTGGGCTCGCGCTCTCCGCGTCATAAGAGTTGCCAACTTTTCAAGGTCAAGTTCGGGTCGTGCCTATTTTATGTAGTATGGTCGTGCCTATGAAAATGGAGAGGTATGATGATTGACACATTCAATTGGAAAGTGCTTGGTCTTATGTGCATATGCGTGACACGCCCACACACACACAAGCACACCAGCGCAAAACCCGACTTTCCTTTGACTGCCCTAGCTGTTGGATAGAACGACAGCAGCAAGACAATCAACACTCAGCGGCGGGACATTCCGGCAAACATAACCTTTTTATTCCATATAACTTCTATGGCACGCCTGGAGCTTTCAGGCAACTTGGGGATTTCTTCTCAAATGCCACACACGGCAACATGTTCGCCGGGCTGTCATGCCCTGCCATTTTCAAGGTCAAGTTGGGCCATGTGATTTCCCAGCTGTTCAGTGACACCCGTTTCCTTTTTGCGCTGGGATGCCTCAAAATGACTGGTTGCAACTGGGATTCGGCTATGAAGCTCAACAGGGAACACACCCAGTTTGTTTGGAGTTGTGAAAGTTAGAAATAGAGGCATCCTCTCAATTGAGGTGGAGGGAGCGACCGAGTTTTGAGGGCACCTTGACGTTGGCTGCAAACAACAGTTTCCCAAGGCACCGAACAAAACCCCCTAAACCGGCCTGGTTTCCTGGTGCTCGTGTCCAACCCATTGCCTGACCCCCAAAACGTCGTAGCTGAGGGCCTTCCTTTCGCCCAAGCACTTCCAGTCGCAGCGCCCCACCGAGAGCCGCCGGGGCGCCCGCCTAACGGTGGATTTGGGAATTTGGGGCCAGGGAAGTGGGGGCTGGATACGAGCACCACACCCACCAGTTTTGGGGTACATTTTGCCCATTTGAAACATGGCTTTTCCCACCAAAATAAATGGAACCCACCATTTACAAGGCAATGTTCAGGTGTATAATGTAAGGATCGCTGATTCTCACTGATTCTTTTTTTTGCTGGCGGCTCAACGGCCGATGGTTTCAAGCGATGGAGCCAAAATGGAGCCCACCCGGCGAGGCAATGAATTCGTGTGACCTCAATTGGCAATGGCTCAAAAACATGTACCAAATTTGCACCTTGGTAAATGGGGCCAAAGACTATACCCTGCGTAACCCCTGGGCCCTGTAATTTTGAGCCACACCCAATTTGTTGAGAGAGCATGGCCTTTGGTCGCAAGCCTGTGCTGCCACACAAGATTGAGTCTTCTCGAGGATTTGTGCTGGTTTTCTCGTTTTGGCCGCTGAGTTCTCGGAACCTTCATAGTTTGATATTTGTGTCCAAGCGACCTAAACCACAGGAGCAAGCGCTCGCCCTTGGATGGTGGGTTCCGAACCGGCTGAAATCTGCGAAGTCAGGAGCCTTTGATGGTTCTTTTCAAAGTGAACAACGGCTCGGACGAGAGAGCGCCTGACCATTTTATTGAAATATTACCGATTTCCGCATCGACACAAGACCCAATAGATATCATCTTGAACCAGCAAAAGGAATGGGTGTGTGTTTTTTCTGACTTCCTGAGTTCCTGGACTTTAAACTTTTTGCGAAGACCAGTTGGGTGGCACACAACAAGCTTTAGTTTTTTTGGCCAATCTACTCAGGGTTGGTTTGACAGGAAACTGAAAGGAAGCCAACCAATTTGGGTGTTTTCCTATTTTGAGACAGACCCGAAGGCAGCAGCGGAAGCATAGATCCCGATGCAAATCATAGGTTTCTTCAAGGAAGGCATGAAGACGATAGCCTATCAAAACCCAGTCTGATGCTCCCTTCCGTCTGTAAAGGGCACGCCAAATGGAAGCCACAGTTTTTGGGCCCATAAGCGACGCCAATTTGATCTTCTCCAAATTGGAGAACCCAGAGAAAAGCCGGCTTTCCTTTGGTTTCTTCTTCTCAGGAAACAAGACTTCCTTCTCCCCACAAAGGGAATATATAGAGAGCTGAAATATTGCATGGTTCTCCTACAAACCCAGTTCTCAGTGTTTCTAGGCACCTGTCTCAAAACGAGGACCTCGCCAGATGCTTCCTAGGCACTGAGCTCCTTCGGGCGCTGCACTATGCCGAAGCGACGCTGGGATGCACGGAGCCGGCGATGTGGGGACCCCCTTCAGTGGAAGTAACTGATGTGACAAAGGATGCACATTGCATTTGCCTGTGCTATGGGATGTAATGTAATGCGAAGCAATGGTGGGACCTCAGTGGAAATAACTGATGCAATGAATGATGAAATGCATTTGCCAATGTGATAGTAATGTAATGCGATGCAATGTAATGTACTGCTAAGCGATGTGATCTGCTGTTGCTGTCATGTAATGTGATGCGGGGTATCCACCGCAACGCAATGCACTTCAATGAAATGCCATGCAGCTCTCAACATAGTGTTGACCGGGGATGAATAAACCGGTGGAACCAAATTGGCCACACCTCAACGAATGACTACGAAGATCTGAAGTCTAACACAATGGCTCGTGTTCCCATTATTGGGGTTTCAACATCACCTTGGAGCCATTTGGAGGAATATAAGCTCCCTCTTGGAGACTGTGGATTGTCAAAACCCTGCACCAATTGGGATGGATGCAAGTCGACCAGAATATTGGTTGTTACCCCGCCGACTCCATCTGCTGCCTTGCATGGATTTTGCCCCTCAGATTGATTCCAAACCCCTCAACCCCCACTGGCCCCCTAGCTTCACCAAAAGCAGATCCCATCTGGCCGGGGCCTTTTCCTCTCCGTCCGAGGATCAAGGTGGACCTCTTGGTCCTGGGCGGCGACCTCGTGAACTTCCCCTCCCAGGACTCCGTGGACGACCTCTACCCGGAGCTCGCGAGGCTCGCGGCTTCGCCGCTGGTGCCCCGCTGGTGGTTTGAATTCTTCGCGCCTGTGGGCAGAACGTGGGAGCGCGCCCTTCTCTCTTTTTGCGTTTCGCGCAAGCAGGCAGCAGCCGCCATCAGCTTCGATACTTAGTTTGATTTAGCAAGAGGACAACCTAACTTGGTCTCGGCTTGGCGGAGACGACGAAAGCACCGTGCAGGAGAGCATGTCGGAGGTCACACGGTGCTGCGCCTGGATGGGCTCCGGCGCCCGCACGCGTGCGTCCAGCTGGCCAGCGAAGTTCGCGGCGCTCTTCGTGGGGCATCTTGCGGTGTCGCCCGGTGAGGGGCGTGTTTGAGCGCCTTGCAGGCCCCAAGGTGGATGCAGCTGCCTGCATCGAAAGGATCTCACGCGTCGCCATCCCGGCAGGGTGTTCACCCGAATGAGGCTTGCGCTGCGCCATTCTTTCGGCCTGTTCTGCGATGGCTCTGATTGCGGCTTTGATTGGCAGCCCAGGAACGGCTCTGTTCACGTTCCGTCTCGGGCCGGGAACGTTGCGGGCGCGGAGGCTTTAGAGTTGCCGCCTTTCTGTTTGCGTATCATGGGAAGGGGGGGAAGTGAAGTTAGATTGAGACTCATTTTGGGGCACGCGCGTGGTGACACCATTGGCATTCTGTTGTGTGCTGACTCCTGACCATATGCGCCACAAGCATCCCAAGCATCCCGACGGTCCCAAATGTCTATCTCTGCAAGTCTTGCGCATGTCAAACAGGCTTCTGCAATCCTGCAGAATTGTTCGATGAACATCTTTGTGCATGTATATATATATATACATATGTACACATGGGCTCCCACATGCTCTACTTGGGACACCTGGACCACAGGGGCCGCACAAAAGCGTCAGCGAGACAACACCGGGACACCTCGACCACCGGCCACTGGGACACTTGAACAGCATCACGGAGTTGAAGGACCGTGAAGCATGTGACTTGTGTCTGCGACTCGGCACCAGGCTACAGCCTCCTGCGGCTCCAAGTCGCTACGTGAGGGCAGCATTCATCTACCGTATTTTGAGCACTTTCCAAATTTCCGCATGGCAACTTGCCCACGTCCCACGCCCGTTTCATGTCTGAGCCATAGCTTGAGAAAAGATCCTGTAGGTTTCCGAACCCAAGGCGTCGGACGACCGAACCCCCCCGCCAGGGATCTAGCGGTGCTGAAGATTGAGACAAATATGTTTCTGGTATCCTTACACCAGCTTGGTTTAGGACAGTGAAAGGAACACATGGTCATTGGTTCCCACTATTTCACAAGTAAGAAACTGAGCCTGATTCACTGGGTACCTGCATATCACAGCGAGTTCGGCTCCCGTTCAGGCTGCAGGTGCCGTTCGTGTACACAGCTGGGAACCACGCGCCTGACCTGCAAGAATGATCAGCTGCCCAGAATCGACCTTGTTGAGCCAGGGTAAATCCGGTGGAATTTGCGATCCGCGGGATGAAGAGCGGATCCGGATCCCTCACAATTGGCTCAATCCAGGTTCAACCTTGCCTATGCATCACAAATGGGGGGGGGGGGGGGGACAGGGGGGCAGGGAGGGAGCGACCGCTTCTTTAGGTGCATCCCTAGACCATGCTAGAAAGGTGCCAGGTTTTTGAGCGTTTCCACCTAAAGCCCTCTTGGAGTTAGTTTTTTTCCCGAGACAACAAGACTCTTGGGGTGCTCCGTGTCTGTCCGAAATGTTGTGAGCGGGGGAGCTGGTTGAGATGAGACGCTTATGGTTTGTGGGTTTGTTTCAAAAGGCATTGAGAGAGTATACTAGTTTGAAGAGCAAACGGCAGCCGCCAGGTTGCGTGCTTCACACAAACGAGGAACACGCTCAACGATGCAGCGCATCCCCCCGCCAGTTTTGAAGTTCATGACAGACCAGCTTGGAGACACAGTATCCAAACAAATTGGCGTGTGGTATGACAGAAAGGGTGATTTTCCAGCCCCACGAGGTTCGCAGTTATTCGGAAGCTCAACGTTTTCCCAATGGACAAGTCGCCATTCGGCAACTCTTTACAGGAGGGTGCGAGTTTTGAGAAACCACCTCTGCACTGTCCTTTTGCCCTCTGCTGCATCTCAAGCGGTTTGTAACTTTATGTGGGATGGCTTTTCTCCGGCTGGGTTCCGGAATTCCCTGGGTTGTTGGGGACATGACCTGGGCTTATGTTCACAAATGCTTCAACGGGGCGAACGGCACGTCTGAGGACTGGCATTTGGAGCGGCTGGAGGAGTGGGAGGCCGCCTTCGACAGCCAGCGCGCGCGGAATGAGGGCGCCGCCCTGCAGAAGCTCTACTCAGCCAGCGGGAAAGGCGCGGGCTCCAAAAGAAAGCTGGCAAATCGGGGGGGGGGGTGGTTGGAGGGACAGGTGCAAAGCGGCGGAATGAAGGTTGGCGGGTTAACATCACTCTCCGTGGGTTGCCTCCAAGGGAACAGTTCCCGCAAAGGGTTGCAACTCTGTTGTTTCAAACAGAGGAGTCTTGTCGTAATCCAAGGTACAAGAACCCAGGACTTGCTCCTTGTCAATACAAGGCTGCCATCTCTGACTCACATCGACCTCACACAGTCGCCAGCTTCCGCCCTCATGATCTTAGCTATTCAGCCTTCAATTGTGTGTGTGTGTGTGCGTGTGCGTGTGCTTGTTTGCGTGTTGTCCCTTTCTGGAGAGTGGGACCTCCTGAGAGGTTGGGTTTTCTGCAAAGCAGTTTTTTCAATGATACTAGCGTGTCAACTTGGTTCTGCGTCATCTGGCCAGTCTGCTGGCCAATCTGCTTCAGCGTCACCTCCCACCTTGATTTGAATCATCAGGGAACTCTGCTTGAACAATCCTGCATTTACTTGGTATGAATCATTTGAGTACCCTGCTTCAACACTACTGAGCCTTTGCAATTCAGGAGGGCGATTCACGTTTGAATGAACAATGGGACCATTACTTAAACGGGCTTCAATTTGTTTTGACTAGAGTTCGTCGTTCAATTTATATGTTGAAGGTGGTGTCCTTTCCTAGCATGTCATGTTCAATCTCTTCATTATACTTTGAATACTATGTTGAAGGACATATTTTTTGTATAAATTCTAGTTTTAACTAGAATTTAGATAGCATTTCTTTTCGAAGATGCTTTCAAACAGATTTTCGTTAGAATTCTTGTTCCAATTCATATTCCACAGGTGATGTCCTTTCCCGGGAGGAGTTGTTCACTTGCTTCACGAGAGACATCAACAAGGAATGAATTCTGGTAGAAATAGGGTCTCCTTTTCAAAGAGGAATCCAAACAAATGTCGTTTTTTTTTTTTTTTTAAGATCAAGTTCAAAGTTAAAGGTGTTTTCATGTTTTATGCAAACAAATTATGGAATTCAGCAAGAACAGAGTTCTAGTAAAAGTTCTAGGTTAAATATGTATGGTGTTGCTTTTTAGACGGGAGTTCAAGTAGAGTTTATTTAAAATTGTTAAATCAAATCGAACTTTAAAGGGAGTTCTTTTCCCAGAAGGATTTGTTCAATCTCTTGAATAGAAATTAGATGAAACATGAATAAGGAACAAATGCCAGCAGAATCTCTAGCTTCAATTATAATTTAAACAGGCTCCTTTTTACTGAAAAGGATGTCAATTAGATTTTTCATGGAATTCATATGTCAACATATATTACAGGTGCTTTCCTTTCTTAGGAGATTCAGTTCAGTCTTTCAACAATCACTTAAACAGAAGAGGTTACTGGATTCAGTTTTTTGTTTTCCCTTTGGGACAGTCTTGAGTGTTTTTTTTTAGCCTTGCCAGGATTGTTTCTGTTTTTGTTTTTTTCTTCGGGACAGTCTCGCATTTTGCGAGCCCGGCCCCAACCAAGTGTGGGAACTGTCCCAACACACCAATCCTGGCAAGCCCAGGCCGCAAGCAGCGTACTGAGACAAATGTCGAGAATCGCCAGTCAGCTCAAAGCTGTGCGATGCACAAGGGTCAATAAGGAAAACAAATAATACTGAGACACCAAGGAGAAAAGAGAACACTGAGAAGCACTAAGAAACACCACTTGGTAGAAAGCACAACCTCCCAGGACGTCCCTTTCTGCCCCAACAAAGGTCCCATTTTGTCAATCAGCTGGTTGCAACTGGACGTGGTTCCTTTTTGAGGGGACCATTTTCTGGGGTTGCTTCATAAAGAAATCAACGGAATTTGGACGCTGGGTCTACTAAAGTGACATCCTCAAATGTACCCTCCAAACCTTTGAGGGCCATCAAACCTCCAAACCCAAAGCATAGCTTTGATCACTTTTCGACCTCTGGGTTGCTCCTTGTGTTTTTTTTTTTTTTTGTTTCCTTGTTTTTTTCCCGTCTCACCTTGTTCTTTTCGTAAGGACAACCAAAAGGAACCCCGTTTTGCCACGTATGGGTCCCAAAAAGACGTCGCGGCCACTCCTTGGCCTCCCCTTGGCAGGCCTGGAGAAGGACTTCGCGGATCCCCTCTTCGGCTGGGTGCGGCTCCCGTCGGGCCTGCGGGTGGTGTGCGCCTTGGGCCCGAAGCGAAATCGTGAGATTCACCCCAAATGGTGGGTTTATGTGGGGAATCTCCCTCCAACCACCTTATTTCAGGCGTGAAAGATTTTATTTTTTCACCTAGATCAATTTTCCGCACATCCAGAACTCGAAAGGCCCAACATATGGCGTGACCAAAGGTATCAGGATGCACAAAGTGTCCCTTTGCCCTTCAAAACCTCCCTCAAAAAGGAAGGCTCTGGACTTTTATTGATATGTGGGCTTGCCGGCTTGCCTCCAGTCTCATGGATGGTTCTAGTTTCCTTTGAAGGGTTTCCTTTGAAGGCTTCCGGAACTCCCCAACCGGCGTGTTGAATTCGTATGGACAAGGCTTGGTTCTATTGTAATGGATCCAACCCTTGCAGGTTGAACTTCCAAGTGAAGGTTTCCCTTGGAAGGATCACACTTTGCATGACCTGAAGCAAGCTGCAACGTTTGGGAAGCAACTGCTCAGCAGGGAGTGAGAAATGGAACGACCCCTATAAAACATCCAACTGGTGGTTTTCTTTAAGGGACTCCCCAGGTTCAGTCCCTCATTCCCTGCTGAGCACCGGCAAGCAAGTGCCCCAACTGATTTTTTCGGGGTGGAATAGAATAGCCCCAAGCTGCCTTTCCATGTTCTTTCCACAATGTTTTGGTAAGACACATATCCGGACCTGACACCGGGGATCTGACCCGTCTGAAGGTGACGTGTGTGGGGGGCCAAGGGAAGAAACCGGGACATTCTTCAGGACATCCGCACTCAGAATTTCCTGGTCATGTGTCAAATGGGGACTCCAAAATCCCGGCTGGTGCTTGGTCCTTGGATGTTCTCCATTTTCAGCAGGTGACAAGAACCCCGGATAAATCCAATCCCCTTTGCTCAATCAACGAATGGTCCTACTGAGTGCGGGTTAACATCAGCTTTACGGGTTGCTTCCTTGTTCCGTCCGAGCGAGAGGTATCGACAACTCCAACTTCCAAATCGACGAAGCTCAGCTGCGGTCCTTCGAGCTCTTCTCGAAGCAATCGGATCCCTTCGCGCCTCAGCCCTCGTCGAATTGGGGGGAGGGGGTTGGGTTGGCTGGTTTCTTGGGTGCGTTTTTTTCTTCTTCTTTTTCTTGAAGGTTTAAGGGCAGTCCAATGGAAAGGGGCCAACCCCGTTGAAAGGCAAGGGCCCCATTTTGATGAAGCCTAGGAAAAGGTTCCGTTAGGGAATCAATCCCAGGGAAGGGCCATGGGGCCTGAACTGTTCTGGGTCTTGGTGCGGTGAAACAACCTGGTCACACGCAAATATCTCATCTGTCTTAATTTGACATTTTGAGGTTCCCTCAATATGGACCAAAGCCTAAAGATATATGGCTGTGGCTCAAAAAACCGGAATTCCAAAATGGGTTGCCCTGGTAAGTGGAGTCCATGGTTGCCACCCGCGCTTTGCCCCTGTTTCATTTTGAGCCACAGCCATATGTGTGCGGGACCGAGGAATCAAGGCTTGAACGAAGCTGCTAGTGAAGCCATAGGAAGAACCAGAAATTCCCGCCGGGAGCATTGGGCTGGAGAAGCGAAGGTAGGCAAGGCAAGCCATTGGAGTGAGGAAGTTTCAGTCTTGGAAAAGGCCGTTTTTCGGTTTCAGTTTGCCCGGGTACCGTGGGGTTGACCGCCAAAAACGCAAAAAAAAAACCAAAAACAAAAACCCCCAAAAAAAAAATCTGCGAGATTTCCGGCGCCAGATCTCCGGTGGGTTTTACAGCGAGATCCAAAAGAATCAGCAACCGCACCAAATTGGCCCGGGGGACACCCATGCGGCTGAATTTCAACATAAACCTTCAACGTTTTTACAGATATACAATTGCTGGGTGAGGTGTTTCCCTTTCCATGGAAAAGTTGGACAGCCGATCATTTTTTTTGCAAATATGCTGCGAGTCGCTCAATGGCCAGTCCTTAAACGATCAACATTTGCTGCTTTGTGATATACATATATATATATATATGTATATAGTAGCTGGAAGCAAACAGTCGAACGCTGATGGTTTGATGAGATCCGTGTTTGGAAGTCTCACGTCGGTGGAAAACTTGTAAGCGCCACTACAAAACAGTACAGCACACACAGCCAATTCGAAACCACCACTAAACAATACTGATTGGCAGACTACAGACTACTTGGCAGTTTTTCTGCTATGAACCCCGTACAACCATCAACTTGCATTAAAGTAGAGAGCCCGTTTTGATGGACCCATTCCAATGATTGGCCTACCTTTTCCCCAACGCAACCAACTAGGCGCGCCCAGTTGCTTGTAAGCGCAACTTCCATCAAAGGGTAAATGTATATGCCCTGACCCGCTACTGTATCAACCCCTAGGTGTAGATTAGCCACTTCTCGCTACACGAAGCCAGCCGCTTCCAAGGTGCACATATAGCTATGAGTCGGGACCATCAGACTGATCGGCGCCAACCATGAACATGATGTCCAACAAAAGGGGACCAACCCATATATCATACCCATTTGTGCCGTGGTCAGAGCACCCCTCTGCTTGGGGTAGGCTGGTCATGGACGCTTTCATAGACAAATTGGACAACCAGGGCGCCTCTGAAGATAGGCATTACCACCATAGCACATGCACAGTTAAGGTTTTTTTGGAGGGTAGCCTTAACCTTTTCAGGTTGGCGTGACCCTTTTTTGGGGCTCTCCCTTTGACACATGACTTGATGAGGCTTGGTCAGAATTCCGAGTAGTCTCGTCCCTAAATTCCTTCCCCCCTCCGGGAACCTGTGGAACATGTAGACCGTGGCTCACATACCCACTCGTGGGCCAGCTCAGCTCAAGGACGGAAACCACTACCCCCAAGGGATCATGGTTATATAGTGGTTGAATATCAAAGTGAACTTGGGGTGGTTCAAGGGATCATAGTTATATAGTGGTTGAATGTTCTGGGTCAGGTGCTGGTGCTGCACATCCCCATCTTCTTCCCCGCAAGCCCCGGTTGGGGCATCAACGACCTCATGGCGCACCCAGCTTGGGGCGCCCAAAGTGATCAGAACAGCGACCTAGAGCAGCGGAAGCCGTGGCCGCAGAAGGCGCCCGAAGAGGCAGGGCCGGGGAACCCGAGCCCGAGCTTTTCGCGCCGGGGTTTGGCGGTTTGGCGGGGGGAGGGGGGAACCTTCTGTTCCAAACCGGAGGCTTTTTCTTTGGCAGCCCCTAGCTTGGGCTCCGAACTGGGGTTGTGCTTTTTGTTTGTGGCTTCCCGTTTGAAGAAAAGGGGGCCAAAAGGGTTTCCTTCTTTGAGGGTGTTACCACTAGGCTTGAGTCCTGTTCGGCAATGAATGAGCCCAGTACAATGTGTTTGCACGTTTGAGTGTTGCGCCCGCATCAGGGGGTGCCATAGACACGTAGAGTTGCAAAAGAGACTTAATACTTTGCCAATTTACATGGGGTCTGCCTATGGACCTCACCTATTGGGTAGGTCCTTTACTCGGTGATCCCTTACTTTAGGTGGAATTCTTCTGGAGTTTGCGGATAGGTTACGTACCCAAAAGGAGGCGTCCCAAAAGTAGATCCCGACTGAGGTGGTTTTCCATAGGCCGACCTTTGGGCCCTTTGAAGCCCCAGGTCTCTCGCGGTCAAAAAGCAAAGCTTGAGGCGCTGGTCTTCTAACCGACCTCGTTTCGGCTTGCCGCGGAAAAAAAACAACAACGGGGCCTGGTTGCTGGTTCACCCATTTTGGGCAACCCTAGGGAGTTGAGCTTTGGCGGTCCAGCTGATTTCCTCTTGGGATTTGTTTTTGCAGATCTCCTTTCAGAGATGAGTGACTGAATGGCAGGGGGAGCCATTTTGCCCGGGACCTCTTTTTTTTTCTGGTGGATGGAGATTGCCACCAATTTTTTGCGCGCCCTTGTTTTTCTCGGGCCCTCTCACACCGTCTCAAAAATATGCAAATAGCTAGACAGGAACTACCACCCTCAACCTCATCCCCAACCGTTGCCCCCCCAAGCAAAGCTTCCCGCCCAACAAGCCCCCACAACCAGAACCCAATCCCCGAGCCAAAGCTTCCAACCAACCCCCCCAGCCCAAACAACGCCCAAGACCGTATCCAAACCAACCCAACCAACCCAACCAACCCAACCCAACGCAACCCAACCAACCCAACCAACCCAACCCAACGCAACCCAACCCAACCCAACCCAACCAACCCATCCTTTTCAGCCAAACCCTCTGCCCCACAGTGGAACCCACCAACACCTGGGCCTGTGGCCAAGTCTCTCAGGTCCGCGCCTTCGTCGAGCTTGTCACCCGCGCTGCCCGGGACCGGAAGCTGCTGGCCATCCTCACAGGCACGGCCTTGAAACGACGCGTTTTGGGCGTGGGACACCCGGGGCACCTGGGAAAGGCAAGGGTATACGATCCGTTCTTAGAGATTTTGGTTTTGCCTTGGTTAGAACCTTACCTCTTGAAAAACACCAGACATTTCTCAACTTGTTGGGGTAGCATGGGCTAGATGTCTGTAAAAGATTCGCTTCCCCAGGGCGCAGGGAGTTTTAAGGGGTAAGCAAAAGGACACCGGGGAAAGCCTGCTTTAGGACATGGGCCGAATTCTATTTGGACTCGGCCCGTCGTGCGCGGCGTCGCAGCAGGAGTCGGTTAGGAAGACTTTCAGAAGGGTGATCCGTACCTAGACATTCTTGCCGTGTGCTACAGGGTAAACCATGGCTTTTCCGTGGCCAGCACCCTTGCCACCGAATGGGCGCAAGCTCTCGGACGATCGCGACTCAGTTTTGAGGCGCACTTTCATGCGAGCTTCGGCAATCACTGGACGTCTCTGGTCTATGCTCAGATACAAATTCCCCGTCGGAGCAATGGGCGATTCTCGAATGCCAACAGCTTAAGCAGAGCTGGTCCCAGGTCTCCAAGGCCATGTCATGTTGTGACCAAAGGGTAGGAAAATCGGTCACTTTGGGGCGCTGGTCGCTGGTCCCAGTTTTGTTCAAAACACATGGGCCCGAAAAGTCCGCCCTGAGACCCTTCTTTGGGCAATTCTCAGCAACCCGGGGCTTGTGAGATTTCCCGCCCGGCAAGAGCCGCGCAATCCGTGTCTTCCAACAAGCAGGAACCCCCCAAAAACGGGTCCAACCAAGATACCAAAAAACCAAATCAAACATCAACAAAAAGCCGGTTCCCACCAACATACTAAAACCCGCATACAAAAGAAACAAGACTCCCCCCCCCCCCCAAAAAAAAGCAACACACGCACACACACACATATATATATATATATATCACCTATTTCGGAACCGTCGTCCATTCGGGGGACCCAGGTCCTGGTCCACTGGTTTCGGGGGGGGGATCCGGAGGCCATGTGCACGAGGACGGCGCCGTGGCGGTGCCCTGTGGCCGGGAGAACTGCCCCGTGCAGTTCACCACCAGGCGAGACCCGAGACCTGAGACGCGAGACGCGCGACCGCGAGGAGGAACCGCTGAAAGTTGTTGGCTGGAGGATTGAAGGGGGTGTCTCGTTTTTTCAGGGGACCGCCCCCCCCCCCCCAAGAAAAAAAGAGAGAGGTAATAGTATTAAACACACATATATATAATTGCATACAAATATAAATAATAAGTACAGAAATCGTGGTTTTCCTCTTTGTTTCCCTTTGAAACCAGAAACACGGGGGGGGGGGGGGCGGGGGGGAAAAAACAGACAAAGAAGGGAAGCTAAAAGGACAAGTCCCCATGTTGGTGTCCAGTTTCAAGACTCACCATGGTGTGTTTTGGGGGCTTGGTACACCTTTGGAAAAGGACACCGACAGGACAACTGAAATGTGTGTCGGGGGTCCAAATCCCTATTTGACACATGCCAACATATTGTTCTAATCCAGGGTTCATGATTATAGCCTTCTTGATGATTATAGCCTTCTGAATGTTGGGGAGGGACAAATAATCCGGGCTTGGCTTTTTCCACAAAAACAGGGGGTTGTCACCAAGGTTCTAGTTTAAATGAAGTCACGGACCGTGACACCGTTGGACAAGGGTTAGTTCCCTCATGCAGGCCACCTACCAAGTAGGTTGACCATGCAAACAAAGGCTTCTATTTTGAAAGGGCGGTATCGTGGCCATGTTGAAAGGCTTTCCATGTCTTCGTTAAACCGCGCAATGCTTGTAGAAGCTGGGAGTTCTGGCCACGTGTTTGGGGGAGCTTTTCTTGGCTGTTTCTAGCAGACGGGGGGTGTCACTGCAATCAAAACGACACCAATCCTTTGGTGCATTTTGCTTGGATGCTAGGACTTTGACTTTTTGCCAGCCAATGGGTTTTCCATTAACCCACTAGCTAAACTTTTAGCAGGGCTTCGCAGATTTCGCAACCGAGAATTCACCGCAATCAAAAAAACACCTAAACCCTGAGCCCTAAGCCCTAAACCCCAACCCAAAATTCACCGTCAAACGACACCAATCCCCGGTTCAGATCTCTCCAGCGGACTCCCGCGAACCCATTCCGGAGCCGAATCACAAGTCGCAAGGGCCAACTTCGCGGGCGGGGCGCGGCTCCTGGCGCCTTGGCCGTTTTGGCGTTGGCCCTGCGGCCGTTTGGGGGGGGGGTTCGTTGTCCGGACATGTTTTTGTTGTTCCAATGTGGGGAACCTGCCGAAAAGGGGGACGTTCTCTGGACGTTCTTCGCTGAAATTCATCCAAGGCAATGGGGGCTATTAGTTCATGGTATTGGGCCATTGAAGGGGGTCTCCTTCATTTGACAAACGCCCTTGTGATTCCCTTTTTCAACAAGCAACCATGGTGTTGATTAATCGGTTTGCCTGCAACGACTTTTCTACCCTTCGTATTTCTTGTTTGTTGCCTAATTTGCACCTTTTGTTACCGTTTGACCTTTATGCTCCAGCTTGCCTTGTTGTGCCCCTTGACGTCGAGATTGGGTCCATTTTCCAAACCCTTTCTGGGCGCAACGCGGGTATTTCTGTTGATGTTTGTTGTTTGTTGTTTGTTGCTTTTTGTTTGTTGTTGGTTGTTGGTTGTTGGTTGTTGGTTGTTGGTTGTTGGTTGTTGGTTGTTGGTTGTTGGTTGTTGGTTGTTGGTTGTTGGTTGTTGGTTGTTGGTTGTTGGTTGGTTGTTGGTTGTTGTTGTTGTTGTTGTTGTTGGTTGTTGTTGTTGTTGGTTGTTGGTTGTTGGTTGTTGTTGTTGTTGTTGTTGTTGTTGTTGTTGTTGTTGTTGTTGTTGTTGTTGTTGTTGTTGTTGTTGGTGTTGTTGTTGTTGTTGTTGTTGTTGTTGTTGTTGTTGTTGTTGTTGTTGTTGTTGTTGTTGTTGTTGTTGTTGTTGTTGTTGGATGTTGTTGTTGTTGTTGTTGTTGTTGTTGTTGTTGTTGTTGTTGTTGTTGTTGTTGTTGTTGTTGTTGTTGTTGTTGTTGTTGTTGTTGTTGTTGTTGTTGTTGTTGTTGTTGTTGTTGTTGTTGTTGCTGTTGTTGTTGTTGTTGTTGTTGTTGGTGTGCTGCTGCAGCTGCTGCAGCTGCTGCTGCTGCTTCTGCTGTTGTTGTTGTTGTTGTTGTTGTTGTTGTTGTTGTTGTTGTTGTTGTTGTTGTTGTTGTTGTTGTTGTTGTTGGTGTTTGTGTTGTTGTTGTTGTTGCTCAACGGGGGGGCTGCCCGGGATTTCAGCAGCGCAACATACTGTAAAACGCAGCAGGTCGGACATGTGACTGCCAAGTCGTCCCGTTTTTACCAGGACATAAAACGCAGCATATCTTACACATATCATTGGGCATGTGCATTTCTTCGCAGATAATGACTGCGCTTTTGTTTGGCATCTTCATGTCAGCATGATGT